GAGACGCGCAGGGATGTGCGCGTAGCAATCGTTAGTCAGCGACCTCGGTATCTGCTCTAGGCGGTCCCCCACCGCCCAATTGCCAGACGCGACCAGCGTGCAATCCTCGAAGTTCATAGTGCCATTGAGCTCAGGGCGCGGCCGCCTAAACCAAGCGCCATAAGAGCTTCACGCATTGCGACTGTCGGCGAGCGAGTCGTCCACTGGGGCGTCCTCAGGAAGGGTGGCCACCCCGTGGCCGTCATTAATCAACTGTGCGAATTCAGGAGGCCCCCACTGCTGCAATATGATGTCTCGCTCGATCACCTGGCCAAGTTCGTGCTCGAGGTCCGCGTTGTTCTGTGCGTTGACCTCCAGAACGGGCGGACCTCCGACGCGTGGCCCGCGAAGGGCACGCTTCCCGCCGTCCTCCACGCAGTGCAAAAACTTGTCGGCGTCGTAGGTCTGGTCGAAGAAACGCAAGTGGCCGAAGGGCCGCGGCCAGGAGCTGTGGCCGACATCCTTCGCTGATATAGATGGCAACGCTGCCGCTCCAAGGGCCGGCAACGAAGCACGCGGCGCCCGCCTGGCGCTCTTGGAAACCGACGTCTTGAAGTGCATCTTGGGGCGGGTGCGAAACCTGACCTACAAGGCCCAGTTTGAACCACAGCTGTTGGTGCCACGGTGCAAATATACATACGTTTGACTCCTGCGCGGCCAAGGAGGCCTCGCGAAATTATGAACCGCCCCCTCGTTTGCGGCAGCCGCACCGCAGGCGCGCAGCGGGCGCGCCATCGCCACACTGGGCACAAACGCGCACCAACACGCATAAACACATGGAAGCAATTACGTTATATGTACGCTACGTCTAATAGAGAAGTCTAAGGGAAAGAAGGGCGAGGGACAATCCGCAAAACAATGACAAACACGAAAATCCATAAAATCAATAACATTCAAAGAAGCCATTGGTTTTGCAAGACAAATCAGAAAATAAGCAATCGAACCCAAGGTATCGGTTGGATGTTCCGTACTTTTCTTAGAACAACATGTTTTTGTGTTCCTCTCCCACTCGATTTTTGGTGTGGGGCTCGACTGTGCCAATGAAAATACGAGCTCAACTCGTAATCGCACGAAGGACCAGCCTGTGTTCGCTTTGCTATGCTATGCGTGCTATGCCATGCTACGCGCATCGGCACGCGACGGATGTGACACTTGTAACGCCGAAAGCGTCCACCACCCTATTCCTCGCCTGCTTCCTTGCCCCCCCCCCCCCCCCCAGTGCTCGCAGCGCTCCTTCCTGCGCTCCCCCCCCCCTTGGCCGATCATTGAAGTTGGTTTGCGCACCCGCCCCCCCACCCCCCCCCCGCTCTTCCCCAACTCGCGCGACGACGGGGCCCGATCGCAAGGCCGAGCCCCGACGCTGCGCGGCAAGGCGGGGCGTCGGAGGCATTCCGACACCCGCCCCGCGCGCCCCCTGGCCCGAACCCCCTGCCAAGCGCGAGCTATGCGGAATTGCGCGGCCAAGCAGTCTGCCCAACAAACCCTGCAAATACGATTGAAACAAGCCGCGCGTGGGGCGCGCTCGTTGCTAGTCGACGATTCGACGATGATGGGCTGGCTTCTGGTGCACCTGCGGGTGCCGGTTGTAGCGCAACTCCGCCCGTTGCTCCCGCGTCGGCAAGTCGGCTCCGCTGGGTAGTTGAACTCGCTGATCGCTGGATCGCTGATCGCCGGGGCTCGCTGAGGCAGGCCAGCGCGCGGGCGCGGCTGTGCGTGGCGGCCCGCGAACCTGCGCTTGTTCATCTCATGCGCGCGGGCAAGGCGGTCGCGACCCCCCTCGTCAGATCGGCTGGGGCATTCCCAAAGCATTGGGGCGCCGCGTGGATTCCAGCGCGCGGCCAGATCTCAAGAGCGCACGCCATGCGCGAGTAGCGCGCGCGCGCTAGGCGACCATGCGCCCCTGCCTTCGCCTCCCGGGACCCCGGGAGCCACTGCTGGCAAGGCCGCCGCGGCGACGTCGCATTCGTGAACGAGTCCACGAGGCGCGGGCGCCAGGCGGCGGCATGGGCCCACAATGCCCTAGGCAAGCCGCTCGGCCATCCTTCGCGGTTAATGGCCACACCTGGGCGTCGATGCGGTCGCGGCCCTCGACGCGCGCGTGGGCGCGCCTGCCCTGCGCCTGAGGTTCGCGCATTGCGCGAAGATCTCTGGCGCTGTGAAGACTAAGCTGGTGGACTTCCTCCGGATGCCCCTGCGATGATTTCGACGCCTGCGTCAGCGCTGGTCGGAGATGACCTCGCGCCGCCTGGCGCGGCCGCGGTGGACCGGGCGGCTCATTCACGAGGTGCCCGCCCACCTGCAGGCGCAAAATTGCGCCGCGTTGCCGCAGCGCGCCGCGCGGGGCCGCGCCCTCGCAGGCGCGCGGCCGGGCGCTGCAGTTGCGCTCGTAGCCAAATGTGCCCCGACGACCGAAAGGCTGGCGGGCGGGGGGCGCGACGGTCACTGCGGGCTGCTTTTTTTCCCCAAATGTATCCTTCCACGGCTCTCTGCTAGCTCTGACCGTTGAGGTCGCAGCGAGTGGCCAGGTCTTAGTTGGCAGCTGCCCTGGGTTGGCGGCGGACAGCGAATCTGCTGGCCCGTGCCTCCCCGCCACGTACCTCCATGAAATTGGCGACGTGGTCCATGGGGGCGAGGTAGGCACGGGAGCGGTGAATGTTGTCGAACTCGGTGGCCTGCGACGCTTGACCACTCGCCAGGTAGCGATGCGATGCTGGGGCCGACGAGCCATGAGACAACCGGGTCGGCAAGTCTGAAGTGAGGTTGCCATGGAGGTCATCGTCGTCGTCGTCGCACTCGCCGGCATGGCCCGGCTCGCCAATGGCCGGGAAGCTCATTGGACACGAGGCCAGGCCCATGAGGTCGATACCGCAGTCGTCGCAGCTGTCCTCTACGACCTGCTATCGTGTTTTCTGGCCCGCGTCTATCTTGTATATTTCTGGCAACTGCTCCCTGCTGCTGGGCGGGCGCCGACGACGTAGTCGCCGGACGCCTCCCGTGGTTGGTCGGAATTGCCGTCCTGGGCGTGCTGCGCGGCGTCGTGCCGATTGGTGGTGCGTTGCTTGGCATGTGTTGGTCGGTCGCCATGGGGCTGGAAAGTGCGTTCGAGCCTGGCAAGCAATCTGCCGTCGCGCTCCGGTGAAAGCGCACCCTGCGCAGTGCGCTTCAGCTGGATGAAGTTCGACTGCAGCATCGAGGAAGGCCCAACACTTCGCGGCGCACCAAAGCCAAGTGCAAACGTCGGTTCGTGGACGTCTAATCGTTGACGTGCTCCTCCATCTGGATCTGGCACTTGCACAGCCCTCATGCGCTACAAGAGCACGCGCCGCCGTCGTAAGCAGGCCGCCCTTGCGAAGTCCACGAAGCGCAAGTGCGTCATCACTCTGCAACCCGGTGCGTGCTGGAAAGGAGGGCGCGGGTGTCGATGACCTGTCGCGCGACCGGCTGGCGCCATAGTGGGTCGTCGCGGCCGGCGATCACATCCCCGGCGCCGGCGCCCTTAACCCTGAAAATCCCACGCTGCTGATTTTGCGTCGGGCGCGCCGCTGCGCTTTGCTACTGTGGAAACATGGAAAACGCGAGTTATTGGAAACAAATGAATACAGAACTTCATGCGATGCTAGAGCTTGCGTTTGCATGAGAACATTGACATGTGAACGCGCGCCGTCATGATGAGACTCACAAGATCATCGACCTCTGTAAGGCCGTGATCAAGTCGAGACCCCCCCAGGAGCTCTCGAGCATGGCCTAAGTTGCGGTGTTGGCAGCAGCAGCAGCGCCCAGGAAGGCGAGGTAGTAGGTAAGAGTTACCAAAGGTCAAGGAGAGGTTGGAGTTAGGAGGAAAAGGAGGGAGGATGAGAGTACGGGAGGGATCAACAACTCAAACGGAACCCACGCCAAGAGGGAATAGAACATCTATTAACGAACGTAAGTAGATAACACAACAATAATCCAACCCACCAACACGCTTCACAAGACGGCTCTCCCAACAGGGCCAGCGGATTGAAAGCTGCAATGTTCGAGTTACGTTGCGTTTGCCACGCAGGTTTATAGCTGGGACATGAACTATCCCAAACTCCAATAATATTGGACTGTGTATCCCGCCCTGCACATGTAGAATTGCCACCCAAACTTCGCCCATGTACCTCCGTTGCTCGGACCGTGTACCTCCGTGGCTCTACTTGTGTACCTCCGTAGTTCCACCTGTGTACCTCCGTGGCTCCACCCATGTACCTCCGTGGCTCCACCCGTGCACCTACGTGGCCTCACCCGTGTTTTATCGCTGCTCCACCCGTATACGTCCGTGGCTCCGCCCGTGCATTCACCCGTGCACCACCACACGGATGCGGAGGCACGGCCGCACATGGGTGGAGGAGCGACAGTCCACGCGGGAGCTGCGGCCGACCAATATCTATGAGGATACGCTTCGGGCGCCATGCCAACACCTTTAGGCACGATATGTTGGTGGTGACGGACGAGGAGTGGACTTGGCTTCCGAGCCACGTGCGCAGGCCCGAAGCATGTCGGTTCAAAGACGTTGCGTTGGGGAGCGTGCCGTCAAACCCATTCAGTACACCCATCGGTCGCGCGCTGAAGTGACCAGGCTTTGTGGTGGTGGTGGTACTCAGCATCTGGTCGAGTCTGCAATGGTAATATGATTAGAAATCGCCGCTGTGCGAATACTGAGGCCAAGTCCCCTCGCGAAACTTGACAATCGGCACTCCCGTCACGGCGAGATGTCTAATCAGGGAACACCATGGAAACCTTAGGGTCGACAAGCCTAACGAAATCATCATGAACAGTGCGCAGTGGCACTAGATCCCGGGGACTGCGAAGGCAGACGTCTCAGCTCACACACGCACACACAACAGAACACAGGAGAAGGAGGAGGAGGATGAGGAGAAGAAACAATAAGACGAATAATAAGAAGGAGTGGGGCGGGTGCAGGACGAGGAGAGGGTCGCCGTCGTCAGCCCTCTCGGGCATCTTGTAGCCGACGAGCACGACCGCGTGGTTGATCGTGAATCTGCCCGGGGTGTTCGGGCCCCCCACGTCCGACAAGATCCGCCCGCCCCCCCTTGCGGGGCCCCAGGAATTGGCACAGGCACCCGGACCTCCAACGACACACGGTGGTTCGAATCGCCGGCCCCCCGACCTCTCCACCTCTCCCTTGGGGCCCCTGATTTGCAAGACGTGTCGCTGCTTAGTGTTCCTAGAAGCCTGGAGTCGGGCCTCCGCCGCGCAAGGCCGAAAATGGTGGAGAAGGGTTCTCGAATGTTTCCCCCATTGGTTCCCACAGTTGCTGGGGGACCACAATCCACAGTGGCTCCGCCAAACCTGGACTCAGCGTCTAGCCAGCGGAGTTTCCAGAAGGCAGGGGACCACAACGACTCGCCAGAAACGTGTTCGATCTGGCGCCTCGTGTGGCTCACTGCAAAAACCACTCCGCTCCGATCGGAAAAGATCTGCTCAGGTTTCGTCTAGTGGGCGGCCATGGACGCCTCGTGGTCGCCCCGTTGCCTCATTGTCTGCCCAGGCTTCGCCTGGTGGGCGGCCTTGGGCGTCTCATGGGCGTCCCGTGCGCTGGTTGTGTCCGCCGGGGTTTCCCTGCTGGGCGGCCCTGGACCGGTCCAGGGCAGGCTGGGGCAGAACGTCGCCCAGCGCCACGGCCTCGCGGAGATGTGATGGGGCTGGCGTGTGCGCCTGTCGCCACACGTCCCACGAAGCCTCCGTTCGGCCCGCGCCCAGCGGACCCAGTAGGCGGCGGGGCCGCAAGTTGCCATCCCTCCCCGCTTCGCTGGATCGCAGGGCGGGTATGGGATGCGGTGCGGCGCACTGCCGCTCTGGGGGCACTCGGCCCGCCAGAACACCCCCTCCGGGCTAGCTGGCCGCCAGGCCCTAGGAGACTGGAGGCTCCTTGAGCCAAGGGCTACGGACCACAATCGGCCAGGGCGTTCACCCTCCGCACTTGACCTACAGTCTCGTTCAAATCCAAACATGCCCGAATAGTAGGCTGGACTGCGCGCGGGGCTGCTTGAGCCAAACGGCCAAGGAGAGTGAGGCTCAGTAAAATTGAGCTACGCTGGTCCACAATTGCTGAAGGCACGATACGATAAGATTCCCGTGGCTACGCCTGCTTGGGCAGACCACACGCTTCGTTTGTCTGCGGCCCAGCATTTGTCGCAGGTTGAGGGCTGAGATCGCAGTGGAACGGAGATCCCCAACCAGGACATCGTTTCGTTTCGTTTCGTGTCGTGCGTACGGGCGAAGCAAAGATGCGTGGGCGCGCGAGAGGAATGAACCCGCCGTTGCTAAGGCGAAATCAAAACAACTGTTTCTCCTCTGTCCGGCGGTGGCTCTAGCGGTGTCCCGTGGTGTGCCGTGGTGTCCCGTGGTGGCCCGTGGTGTCCGCCGTAGCTAAGGCGAACGCAAGATAAATGTTTCTCCTCCGTTCGGCGGTGGCTCTAGCGGTGTCCCGTGGTGTCCCGTGGTGTCCCGTGGTGGCCCATGGTGTCCGCCGTTGCTAGGGCGAACGCAAAATAAATGTTTCTCCTCCGTCCGGCGGTGTCTCCAACGGTGTCCCGTGGTGTCCCGTGGTGGCCCGTGGTGTCCCGTGGTGTCCGAGGTTGCCAGGGTGAAGTCAAAACAAATGATAATCCTCCGTCTGGCGGTGGCTCTAGCAATGTACCGTGGTGTCCCGTTGGTAGAGTTGTACTATATTGGTTCCGCTTTCTGGCAGCTACAATTCTGTGGGCCTAGGCCTATCTACCTGTGCGGGCTGTGCGCAGGCAGGAAGAAGTGGCAGCGCATGACCGCGATCATACTCACCATCGCCACCGTCGTTACCACCATCACACTCACCATCAGCACGATCACCATTGCCCAGCGGAGGGCGTGGCATTTATTTGGCCGCGATGGCGGTGGTGACGCACATCGTTAGTGTGATCGATAATGAGATCGACGTGAGACCGATCGTGAGATCGATCGTGAGATCGATAGTGGGATCGATCGTGAGATCGACAGTGAGATCGATAGAAAGGTCGATCGTGAGATCGATTGAGTGAGGTGTTGGTTCCCCCCCCAACCTCATTATCACCCGAAGGGTGGTCGTATAAATAGCCCTTCCATTTCTTTTCTGATGACAACTCGCCTCCGAAATAATCGTTTCGTGATGACTGGTGGGGAGGTGCAAGACACCAAGAGATGCTACCGCAACAACTGGGAAACCACAGAACCCAGCGGCTTGGGCCGAGGTGCCTTACCAAGAACGGTCGGGATAGCGGTGTCTCGCCGGAGGCGTAATCGATTCCTCCATGGTACCCGAACCATGTGGTGGCATCTACCGAGACGCCGATAGGGCCACCAGACTCGTAGAGGGCCTGGATGAGTGGGTGCAGCTTGTTCGATGGCAGGACCTCATAGCCTGTGATGCTCACTAGCGTCTCGTGCTGAGCCGACTCTCTGCACATAACTGCGTGGTCATCTCCTGACCATTCCTGCTCGACGTCTAGTGGGATGCCCGACTCCTGGATCATGTCAAACGCCAACTCGGTGGTGGCGCCCGAGCAGCCGCCATTGCCACCGCAATTTCGCGGGTTAGCCGTGCAGTGCGTGACAGCCTTCACTGACAGGCTCTCGTCTGACGAGGTCTTGCCAGTGCTGTCTAGACGCTTGCGCAGGTACTTCATGATCGAGGCGTTGGCCTCCATGTGGGCCTGGAGCAGGGGGGAGAAACAATAGATCGAACAGGCGAGTAGAAATAAACGCCCGTTCGATGGAAACGGGAACTGCGAGTAAGAACCACAACAACAAGCATCGATTCGGACTGACGCTGGCTGGCGGCCAGGACCAATGTAACAACCGTGCAACTACTGTCGGCGCCGCAACGTGTGGCGAAGTGAGAGGGGGCAAACCTTCTCAAAAGCGGCGGGGCGTCTCAGAAGCCCTTCGGCCTTCTGAAGGCTCAGAAGGCTCTTCAGAAGGATGAATACCTTGTGAGACTTCTGAGAAGGCCCGCCCCCTCTGCCTTCTGCCATGGGTGCACCGCCGACACTGGGGAACAGACCTCTCCCGGAATACGTTCTGACCATGATTTCGAAGCGAATCCAGCCGTGGCGACGAGGGAAACGTAGCGGTGTCTGCATCCTTGTCTCCTCTCCTTGACCCCGGCCAACGTCCCCACCCCGCCAAGAACTTCGACCCCACGATCTCGCTTCACGACCTGGACCACTGGAGCCCTCCGCCCGGTCGCATGGACCGGCGGCTCCTCGTCGCGTGGCTGTATTCCCAAATAGCCCGCGGCCCGAAGCGGGCCTCCGGAGGCGGGCAAGTCTGCCTCCCCCTCCCTCTCCCCCAGAAAACTCGTCCCCTGCATTTCACCTGGGGTACGCTCTGACGCGTCCTGGACACAGCTGACGCTCCAAACACTTCGCGCTGGACACGGCGGGCACTAGGCCGGAACAAAAACACCTATGCTCGACAACACGGCGACCAGGGGCCTGAAGGTCAACAACAAGTTGGGAAGATGGCATCAGGAAGACTTTCAGTAATTTGAATGGGCGTATCTGCGAGAATGAAGCAGTGAGATACAGGGGAAGCGGTTAAACTCCGACAATACGAACACAATAACGCCGACGATGTGTTATGGACCGGTGCCGCAACACATACCGAGTGGCGGACAACCTGCGACAAAACCTGCGTTTCACACAATTGAACTGCCATTTTCCTTGTTGAGGCTACGGCCCCCAACGCCACGCGCTCACGGGCGCTCCCGGGGATCCGACGTGGCGCACTCGCGGATCTGGCGCTCGCTCGCTCGCTCTTTCTGACGCGTTCTGGCCAGAGTTGCGAAGCGGATCCAGCTGTGGAGACGGCTGCTTCCCCAGAGGTGTCCAAAGGCCAGAGAACGTAAGCAAAAACTCACAATCTGGACGCGATCGCACCATCTTGATTGCCCGCTGCCCCCCCCCCACGACTGGCTGGACTAGCACGGGCCTCGAGCACGGACGTGGCCGCGTGGGCCCAGCAGCTGCCTGAGGTTGCAGAAAATATACACCACCCCCCAGGGGGGGGGACCGAGAAAAAAACGTAAAATTATTGTGGCGACCACAGGATATGCAATTTCAGGCAACGAAAGAGGTTGCATCATGTGCCCAACCCACGGATATATGAGGGGGGACGCTCGGGGGGACCAGCTCGGAAGGGACATCGACCTGGAATCGGTGACATCGCCGATAGACCGGCGAGAGGTGATAATGGGCGGTAAGGCTCCTTTTCTTCGGCCTACACGCTTCGGTTTCCCAGCGCGGGGTCCTCACACGCCCTGTGTCCCCACAGAGCCTTGGCCCACCGAGTGAGGCAGTGGGCGGTTGAAGAACTCAAGCTGAGCTCGCACATCCTCGCAACTCGTTGCCACGACGGGCTAACGCGACAAAGGAGAAGGAGGCGAGGAGGATGACGATGAGGATAAACAGGAGGAGAAGGAGTGATGAGGGAGAAAGAATGAGAGTGAGGAGGAAGAGGAGGAGGAGGAGGAAGAACAGGAGAAGGAGGAAGAGTAGGAGTGGGAGGAGGAGGAGGAAGAATATCCGCAACAGCAGCAATAGCAGCAACCGCGATGGATGTATTTCCTGAAGCACAACCTCACAACACCATAACACAACCTTCGCGACACATCGGCGGCAACAGAAATAAAGGAGAGGGGGAGGAGGAGAAACAAAATGCGGAGAGTAGCCAGGGCTGCAACCGAAGGGGAGGACGGAGAGGATTGATGGCGACGATTGGTGACATTGCTTGTGTTTCCTCACCACGAACGAAAGCCGCACCGCACACAATCCAGCCATGAATTTGACGAGTTGCGAAAAGTATGGGCACCATGGTCTGGAGGTGCCGCGTCCAGCGTCCCACAGGCTGGCATAATGGACACCAACGAAGGGGCAATGGCAATGAAGGGCTGAAGGGCTGAAGGGAGGATGAGGTAAGATATGTGTTTCACTTTGAGGCGACTGAGGCGAACCGAAGGACGTCGAAGAAAACACAGAGGACGGAGAAAACAAAAAATCTGTAAACATTTGATGGGCCCACAAATCGACCCTGCAATGCAACTCTGCAATCTAGGCGTGTGAGATAATTTCCCCCCCATATCCCCCCCCCCCCCCCCCAGGGACCCCAAACCGGAGATTTGACCCCCCCCTCGCCGACGACGAGCGCACCACGTGGCTTTTTTGGGCCCAAAACGGCTCAAGACGAGCCAAGAAGGCCTCAACACGCTTCCAAGACGGCTCACGAGGGCCCCGAGACGCCAAACGAGCGTTCCAAGACGCCCAAGATGGCCCAAAGACGGGCTAAGAGGCCTCCTAGACGGCCCAAGAGGTCCCCACGAGGCCCCAAGAGGCCTCCAAGATGCGCCCCAAGAGGGCCCCTAGACGCAACAATTTGCCCATTCCCTTCGTAAAACGTATATGTTTCACCAAATTCGCCTTCTGGGGTTTCCGATGCTCCCAGACGGCCCAAGAGGCCCCCAAGACCGCCCCAAGACGGCCCAAGAAGCCTCAAAGAGGGCCCCAAGATAGCCCAAGAGGGCCCCAAGACGGCCCAACAAGCGTCCAAGACGGCCCAAGAGGGCCCCGAAGACGGCCCCAAGAGCGCTCCAGGAGCGCTCCAAGTGGCCTCCAAGAGAGCTCAATATGGTCCCAGACGGTCCAAGAGCGATCAAAGGCACCGCAGATGGCCTCCAGACGGCCCAAGATGCCCCCAAGAGGACCCAAGAGGCATCGAAGATGCGCCCCAAGAGGGCCTCTAGATGCAAAACATTGGCCCGTTCCCTTAGTAAAACGTGGATTTGTTTCACGAATTCGCCTGTTGGGCTTTCCGGCGCTCCCAGACGGCCCAAGAGGCCCCCGAGACCGCACCAAGACGGTCCAAGAAGCCTCCAAGAGGGCCCCAAGACGGCCCCACGACGGCCCAGGATGGTCCCAAGACGGCCCAAGAGGTCATCAAGACGGCCCAAGAAGGCTCTAAGACGGCACCAAGAGGGGCCCAAGAGGGCAATCAAAAATTCAAAAATCTAGCTTTCCGCCCCCACGAACCCCATGGGGGCCCCAAGAGCGCCCCAAGAGGCCGCCATAGGCCCCCAAGAGGCCGCCAAGACGCCCCAAGGAGCCCCCAAGAGGCCCCCAGGAGGCCCCCAAAAGACCCCCAGACGCTTCCGTATTGCGAGCCGCCAAGCCAACTGCAATGCACCCCGCGCGTGCAGCCTTGCTCTTCCTCGCGACGTGCTCGCTATCTTGCTCGGCGCTAATGTGCTGCTGCCGCGCGAACTGTTTCGCGCGCGCAGCGAACGTCAACGGCCTCTTCACCCGCTTCGACTCATCTGCCACATCTTTCGCGGCGATGCCTCGCTGATCACAGCTTCCGCACGCTACTCTTGCTTCTTTTCGTCTTCCGGTGGTCCTCCACTTGGTTGCGGGTCGAAAGGCCGACCTCCCAGAAGGACGCCCCGCGCCCGGGTGCACAGCGCGCAAGGTTCTCGCAAAACACGCCCCAGACCACCAACATCACGCAAACATTTGGACCCCCCACGTATCTGCCACCACCCGCGCGCGACACCGCGCCCTCACGCAAGACGCCGCTGGCCAGAAACTCCCGGCTTCGCAACGCTCGCAGAGGGGGGCGGCGGATGTGGCGTAAGCCAGTAGATATCGACCCTGCAATGCAACTCTGCAACGCAAGCGCTGCTGCCTAGCAAGGGGCGAGGATGGGGACGAGGTGGGGAATGTCTTTCAGTCGGAGGCGGCTGAAGTGAGCCGAAGGACATCTATAAAGAAGCAGAGGACTGATGGGGCCACAACACATGAAATAACCATGTCATGGGTCCTTTTCCTTTCCAGCTCGGGGGGTCCAGATTGAAGCGAAGCGCTGGGTTAGCACTGATTTCGTCATCGAAGCACCGCATCACCTCTAAACTCCGCCCGGCGTTGTACCCTGAGGAGGCTTATCCTACGAAGCCGATGATCAAATCTGCAGAGATGCGGAGCACTGTCAGCCCACGGCTGCGCAGGCCCCGCTAGCACACCCTCGAGGCACGCAACCCCATGGAAAGGTGGTCAGCCCTCAGTCGCGGGGAAAACGTGAACTCGAACACTTGCCTTTTGCACTGCGACCACTCCTCCCTTTGCCTCCTCGAGCACGTCTAGGGATTTGAATGCTAAGCTGCGAGCCCGACGCACGCAGCTCCGAGGCGCAGGGAGGGCTATATTATTCAAGGGGAGGCACGGACGGGAGGGGGGACGAAGGGGAACAAAACCTTGCGCCACCAAAGCGGCAATGCGATCGCTGTGGCGCAGGGGCGGCGGCAACCTTCCCATCTCATCTACTACTTGTGATCCTCCAAGAACTGGCTGATCGCGCGCTCGAGCGGGCCGCGGGGCGCTGGCCCGCAGGGGCGGGCGCCTCCCTCGGCCAGGATCAACAATTGAATCCAACCGTCGACGAGGGCGCTGCGCTGGTGCTTCGGGAAGAAGTGCCACATCACCGTGCACTGCTGCTCCTGGTTGTCGTGCTTCTTGTGAGCCTTGCTTCGGATGTGCCCGACGAGCGTCGCCACGTCGTTGATTTCTGCCGGCGCGAGCTTCTCCTGAAAATATTGGAGCATCTCCTTCGCCAGCGTCCTCTCCGTGTCCATGCCGTTCTCTGGAACCGCGCGCGTCGCTCCGTAGCCGAACGCCGACGTGAAGATGCTGAGGGGTGGCGGCCCGCGCGCTTTGTGGCCCGTCGGCCTGCCAACTGCTGCCTTCTTCTTGAGCTCCTTGCTCTCGGTGTCGTAGCGCTTGCCCGCGGCCAGGCCCGCGACCACGCTCGGGCTGCTGATGCCAACCTGAAACTTGACGCAGCCGATGCTCTCCATGTTCGCGATCGACTTGCTGTTCGCCATCGCCAGCTTGGCTATGGGAACGATGGCGTCCTTCTGCGGACGTGCTCCGCCGTCTTTGGGTTCTCCGCCAGCGGGCTCGGGCATCGACTGGCTGCGCCAGGCTGGCATGATAATCTTCGATGTCTCCATCGCACCCCCTGGCATCTCGATGCCGGTCGGTGGTCGGCTGCGCAGGTGGGCCGATCTGTCCTGGAAGATGGCTCGATACAATATGGCTGCATAAGTCGTCGTGCGCGCCGCCCTCGAAGTCGCAACATGAACAGTGATAGCTGTTGAAAAGGTTTTGCTTGCATAAGGTCCGTGCTGCTTCTGTTAAACATATTCCACGCGATAATGAACGCTCAAGATGTAGCGCTGCCTATTTTTTACAGGAGAATACTTGCTTGCAACATATGCACCCGCTTCTCGGGATAATGACATAGAGCAGATTGCGTATGCTATGAGCCCCATTCACGTGTAATTAAAGTGCCCCCCGCGACGAGAAACTTGCCCCACATCCCTGCCCATTCTTAATGTGCCTGCGTACGAAATCCATTGATTTTCCTCTTCCTCTTCGAACTGCCTGACGAAGAACGGCGATATCTTGCCACTCTGGTGGTGGGTAGCAGTCTCCGTGAGTTTTGCTGCGAAGCCCGTTCATATCAATAGCACAAAATTCTCCATGGCCTCCGCATCCGAGAAAATACACAAATTAGCGGCGACGTCGCGAATCGCCTCGTAAGGGGAGAAGCTCGGCTGCCTCGTCCAAGTCTGCGGACATCTGAACTAAATATGGAGAGGCAAGCTCCGCGGGCTTCCCGAAGGCTGAGCGCGGCCTCGGGTCGAAGGTACAGGTGCCGAACAGTGCCACTAGAAGCTGCAAGCGGTGGTCAGGCAGTCCATCCCAAGATGGGCGCATTCTTAGCCTCCTCAGCCGGAGCTCTCGCGAGGAAGGGAGGACTCGCCAAGACTTTAAACCCTCCTTGTTGGTCAAGCTAGTGATGCGTTCGCCTTCATAGTCTGCGGCCTTGCCACCCATCGCTGCTCGACCCAGCCGGCTGAGACCATAATCTAAGATGTCGTAGTCGGTCGGCGCCAGCGTGAAAATATCAGGGCCAGACA